AACTTTGAACATAATTTGATGTGTTGTACGTTTGTAAGACGGATACATCACATGCGGTCATGCGGGTGGTTATGCAATATTATATTATGATATAATACTTTTGGACATATTTTTATTCTGTTCTATATATTGTTAGCTTCTTTTTACTCGTTTCTGCCAAACGAATGGTCGAAAATAAAAGAATTAAAAATATACAGCATATATTCAACCAGCAAAAGTATTACAATACCATTTTGTGAATTAAATATAAAATTAAACCATTTTATAGTCTATATAGTCTATTATATATAGACCCTAAACAGTATATAGGTATACACTATACACTATATTACTATAATACGAGTATCATATATGATGTGTGATTTTAGGTAGGTAATATTATATTTCATGGCGATATTTATTTCATCTGTGATATTACGATGGATTTAATCCACTCTTTTGACAAGTTAATTAAGACACTTATTAATACATAAAACTTAATATACGCATAAGAACAATGTGAGATGTGAAATGTTTAACTCTTCTGGGATGCGCATGCGACGAAAACTTCTATTTGAATATTCATACCGCTATTCAAATAATCAATCACATAAATTATTATTTTACGTTATATTAATTGGCCACTCATATTTTTAAACTAATTTTAACTTATAGAATATAATTACGCACTAAAATCAAAATTGACTAAATGAGAGCCATTTCAAATTTAATCGATAGTCATAAATACATTWTTTTTTTATATTTTATTAAAATATTGTAATCGATCAGTTTTCATTACTAGTGTTATCTCTAATTATTATTATTTTTTTTTTTTTAATAATTATTATACTTTAATAAAATATCCAATATAAAATTTTACAAAAATATTTAAAAACATTAAGAAAATAATTAAATATTGAGAATTTTTTTAGTAAATGATTACATTTTAATAAGCATAGACAAATGTATGATTCATTTTGAAATTATTTACATTTGGTATATTTTGTTTTTAGAGCTATTATATGGTTGTCATGTTAAAWTGAACAATATTTCAATTTTTAATGTTTACTAAAACAGTAAATAAGCTCACTAATAAATTTTATAAGACATTTAGGTAGGTAATAGACATTTGTATTTAAAAAATAACAACCTTTATTAGCCTTATTTGACATAACGAAATCTGGCTGAGAATTTCAGTATTACTACTACAGTCTGAAAAATCCAAAAAGTTACATTAATTTAATAATAAGYGGTTAAAGCTTAAATTTTTACGACATTATTCATCTGTAAGTTTTTTTTTCCTGTTAGAACCGACAGCCAGAGGAGGATCTGTTTACACAATACTATACTCCTCTGCTTCTATCGTTTATTGATGAAAACATTTAGAATCCATCTGTAAGTTAACGATTTCTCATAAAACAATTTTCTGATTATATTGTAATTCAAAAAACAATCATACATACTCGAATTTTTTAACAAACGTTTTTGGTCTTTATATATTCGTATAAGTATGAAAACTTTTTCAAAATATTTTACTCTGTTTTGAGCTGTCTATAGATATTTCAAATTTTTTTTATTTCTTTATTTCTTTAAATATTAAATTTTTCGCTTGTTAAAAAGCTTGAAAATTTAATACATGTTCGTTAATAATAATAAAATTATTTATGCACGATCTTTTTTTTTAATAAGCAGTTAAAAGTTCAAATATACCAACATCYTATATCTTCGCTTAGAATTGTTTTTCGTGTAGGTAAAATGATTTAATATCATTGCATTAAAATTTGATACTTTCATTTCAATGAACCACGATGACACATGACGCTACATGTATACCTACAGCAAAGTGGTAAATACTGACTTTCCCACTTTGTATTTTATTGAAATATTAGTATTTTAAAGTTTTGTTTATTTCTACAGTTGTTTTATTACCTAATTTATTGGTTGTAAATGGTATAATTAGCTCATTTTAAGGGGTTCAGAATAGGCAATATTTTAAGAAAATATTTATCTGTATACAATAAGACTCCAGTACTCAAGAGTATAGAATTAAAAATAAACATTCGGTTACAGAAAAAAAATCAATTTTAATTGCTTTAGATTCATTAGTTAAATTACGAAAAACATTGATCATAACTCGTAAGCTTATTTTTCATTTCGACGAAGGCATATTACACTATTATAGGTAATGCGTTAGTTGCGTTAGGTTGCATTTTTTGGTAATTTATATTTTTAACGAACTCACCTAAATCTTAATAACTTTCCTAATCTTAGTTCGTTTCAATTAATACTGCAACAAATTGCATTTATTATTTTTTTTGCAGAAGTATTCAATGGCAATTGGAATTATGTGAACGCGTCCAATGTACTCATCGATGGGATTTGAACAAGACAAATTTACTGTTTGAAACGTGATATGATTCCTTTAGACAAATTTAATACGCATTATATTAAATTATATACAAGCCTATAATAATTATACACACATATGCTATTATTAAAATATTATAATATAATATATATATTTTAGCCAATTTAAAATATCTCAATATTACCTATATTAATTATATCACGCGATTTATACACACCTTTATATTATAATATAATATCTGATAAATATTATAGGTACTTACCATAAGTTCAGTCACGTATAATATACATTATTACCTATACATTTAAGTAGTGTAGTAGTATTAATAGTATTATATAATAATATTATAATAGTTTAGTATCATACCCTGAAAGTATTTACGTCCAGACTAAGATAATTATAGTAAAATATTTATTAGATATACCTTTGTAAAATATATAACTATATTGACTATAATGCTATATTATAATATGCATCGAATAATTTAATGATATTTAATAATAWAATATATTTATTCAAAGTATTATTGAACAAAGCTTATATTATTATCCCCGAGTCGTGACTCTTGCAGAGCCGATGATGGCTCGACCAATATTAATATTAATATAATTTATTTAATTTATTGACTAATATAAGACGYAGAAATTATAGACATGCAAGCATTTGTATTTATATYTTTCCATTGTCGATAAAGTCCTTATGAATCATTATATAAATTAACTTAACGAACTGTACAATGTACATAGAGATACCTATATATAATTATAATTTATACTGTTTATGTAGTTATATACATTATAGTACATACCTAATATTATATTATATAGAACTTACTTAGGAATAAATTGTCTTTAATTATATTGTATGTGTATCGTATAAATTATTAATAAGTAGTATAGGTATTAATGTATTATAGATTAAATTAAATTTTCCAAAAAAAAAAAGAAAAGAAAAATACGTCAAAGATCAATATTATAGTTCTTTTCGATATTATCAATTTTTATTATTATTATTAAACTCTAGTCAAATTATTTTTTTAGACTCACAGTAATTAGAATTATACCTATCTATAATAACGTGTTATGCATTAACYTTTATAGTTATCGAAATTTATAGACAAATATTATATAATATAATATCTATGAATGTACTCGTATGTATAATATTTTGTCGTGTTGATATCAAACATGGTATTATTATAGGTATATGGGTTAATAATATACCGAAACACTGAATATTATTWGRTAAATATGTMGAATATAACATGTATGGCCTGTAAGTGTCCATAATTATTTTATTATGTAATTAGGAAAATATTATTCATTATACGAAGAAGCATAGGTAGTAAAATAAAATACACACAACTCGTGATTTCAGGAGAGGTCTACTTCCTTTGTATCGTAAATCATATTAATTATAATTTTGAAGAATTTACTTCGAAGTTAACCAGGATATCAATTTAATAAAATTATTATAAAATATTTGTAATTCCTAGGGAGACCGAGGATTTAAAAAAYTCGTTAAGAAATAACAAAACGATACGATGAGTGATAGGCGAAACGTAGAGCACTGACCGGGGGTCCCATTAGTTGGCTGCTGTCGGGTTTTCAAAAGCACCACTGATTTTCTGGCGAGTCAATACGTATTGTTTCATCGATCGTTGTTACGGTCTTATGGACTTATGAAATTCGGAAKCAAAGTATAAGGACCCTTTATTAATGTATATCCTAAACATATAATTTGATCTTATTAAGTTATAATTTATACAGTTACACCAACCTGGATGAGAATGTTTAAAAAGCGCCTATAGTGTATATATTAATTAATCTTTTTGTGTATACAATATACATATTTTCTGTAATTTTATCRCACAGACACAACTTGATTCGTGTAATGCACATAATATCCTGCAGTGCATAATACGATGTTATTATTTTTCATTGATGTTGTACAAGTACAGTTGCACTAAAACAATAATAATAATAGTAATAATATTATAAGAACCATTATTATTGCCGTCGCTTTGTGCCCACAACAGTACACCTTGGCGGTACCTGCAAGCTGCAGGTCACGGCACAGTCCGTATCGTATATTATATTGTTTTGTTGTTATTGTAGTTGTCATTATCKTCTACACTATATAATATGTAATATACAGGGTGTTTCTACCTGACCATGATAATAAAAATATACTTCGACAATTGCATAGGAAAGGAGGGTAAAATTTTTTTAGTTAAATTTAATTTTTAGAATATATGTATCCGAAACATTGAAGGCTATATCYCCTCCTATCATACAAATAAGGTCCACTCTTACATAATATTATGTTATTATATTTTAGTTAATAATTTTTCCAAAAATTGCGTTAAAAAAAACTGTTAATCAGATGCAGGAGACGCCCTGTAATAAAATTAAAAATTAATATATTAAAAGTATTAGGTAGAGATTATATGAGGTAGAATACTACTTATTCCAAGTTATTACAATGTTGTATAGTGTGCTATGTTCTCACACGTATCCGTAGATAGCATAATCGTATATAGTCCGTATCATATAGGCTTGCGTGGGGGATATGCAGGGTATGCAGCTACATACCTTGAAGCTCTAAGGGGTGAAAGGGCGTATGTAATTTGCGCCAAAATCAACCAAAAAAAAAATATATGTAATTTGCGCCACGTCTAAAAATGTATTTTGGTAATTTGCGCCACTTTTTAAATTTGTAATTTGCGCCAAATAAAATTAAATAAAAAGGAATTATTATGTGTAATCTGTGCCCTAGAATACCTACTAAAATTGTACTTTGCGCCATTTATATTATAATAATATAAATAATTTTTGTTTTCTTTAGTGGCACAAAATACCAAAATTAATTAGTATATGTGGCGCAAAATACATGTTATATTTTTATATTTTGGCGCAAATTACACACGTACTTAATAATGTACCTATTCGTGGCGCAAATTACAAGTAATAAAAGTGGTGCAAAATACCATCTCCCGGTTGAAAATCGACTCAAGCAAAAACCTTTTTGCACAAGAAAAATAATTAGTACGTATATTAAAATATTTCTAATGGTAATAAATTATTAAAAATGAGAGAAATCATATCAGACTAACGGCAGTGACAACGTTTGATTCACGTATAAAATCATAATAATAAGGTGATTGCTATACTATAACCACCGTCTGACGTATAAACATGACTATGGCCGGGTGTAGTAAATTGAAACATCCAGTTATCAGCTACCTAGGATTTTATGAAATACATGCTTTTTGTATTTTGTCAGTGGCGTATTTATGGGGGGGAGGGGCTGAATAGGCTGCAGCCCCCCCCCCCGAAATTTTAAGAAAATCTAAAAAATATTTTCATGGTCTATTAAAGTCAATGCAAAATTATTAAATTCCATTTTATAGATTTTAAATTCGTATTATTTTGTTAGCATATCTTATCACTCATGGACAAAAATACCACGGGTGATAATACTGGAAATCATAGATACTAATAAGTAATTATAAACCTTTCGATAATGATCGCYGATCACTATAATACTACTATAATAGAGCTGCACAATATAATATAAGTACACATTGTTTTTATAATTTTCATGGGCATAGTCACGCAGATTTAGATAATATTATACCTGTGTGTCGTGTGATATAAATACTGTTATCCTGTTATCAGTTTTGTTTGCGAGTTTTAAATTTCCAATCAGTAAACCGGTAACCGTACAAATAATTTTGTCAATAATTAATATATTATTATTTAGCGTACTTGTAGTTTACTTGTACTTTGACTACTGACTACTGAGTTTGTAATTTGTATTATTATAATTTAAAAAATGGACAAATTTATCATATTACCCGCTGTTAAAATGTCAATATTATATCATGATTAGGTATTGTTCGTTACATGACATAATATTATGATTTAGATTGTATTGGTGCGGTGCGCACTACTAATATAACCTACCTTGTGTTGGTAGATACCTATAGTTGGTACTGTTGGTAAGTACCTAAGTTTATATTATGGTTATGCTCCACATTCATTTGTTATACCTGTATAAGTAGTAACAGTATAGTAACTATACCTACCTACAGGGCTACACATATCGTAATGACGATATCTCATGTCCACCGTAGTTATTTAATTATTATACAATCATTAATCGGAATAGCAAAAATATAACTAAATATTTGATATTATAATAACACTGCTCTCAGCATAACTGGATTTTAAAATGAAGTAGATACTCGTACTTTGGACTTTTTTACCAATTGCATGTAAAGAAAAAAGTGCAGCCAAATCATAATTATTTTTACCTGTTCAATGTTCACCAACGACACCAACAAAGAAATTATCAGTATTAAAAGGTTTAGATTTTAGAGACATTATTCAAAAAGTTGACAAAAATGTGTAATCACTGTAATATTACAGTACTTTCCTCTATAATAACAATTGCAATTTATTTATGTAGGCATAAACACTTTATTATTTGTAAATTATGCAACAAGTATTTTTCATAAATAACCACATCATCATTGCAGCTCTGCTAAAGGTGTTTACTTTATGTAGATAGCTAGTCAGCTAGATACTTGATGTAATAATATAATAATAATACATTTGATTCTCGAGATGTGTTCCAAAAAAGTATCTATATAATTTATTACGTCAGGTGACCACACTCGGAATGTTGTTCAYGTTTCGGAAATCCACTGAAAAACTAAATTTCATAAAAGTAAAAAAAACATAGCTACCTATATACGTACAACATACCGCAATAATCGTGTCATTACGACGAGAGCCCAGACTTAAATAAAATAATAATATGCACTTGCATAATATACATTTTTTTGTTGATCTGCATACAGATAGGAGCATGTGAACATAATATATAGGTGATATGGCCGCATGCAACAGCTATCCGGCTGCATTATTATTAGTTTTTTACGATTTTAATCACATGGGTCGTGTGCCTAATAATAAAAATAATCATACAACCGTCATGTTCTATGACATAATGCTATAGTTCGTGGCTATAATGAC